AAATATTTTGCCACCATTCACATTCAATCTGTGACCTTCCAGTGCTTTTAATGCCTACATGTACATTTGTATTACCCAAATCATAATCTGTACGATACACTTGGTCTTTTCCTTCATGATATGTCAGGAACATTTCCTCATGCTAGTAAATATTCTTCTACTACCTGATTTTGGGGAACAATTTGATAGCTATCATCTAAATGTACTGTTGTTTAATTAATCTGTTCTTTCTCGTTTTGTTTATTCCTGTATTTTTGCCAGTGATTTTCATATGACATCTGCTGTTGTCGGTATTGAAATCCTAAAAGGGGGTATGGATTTTTTGGCATTAATGTCTGTGTGAAGGACAACTTTGGGATCATGTTCACTCTAATTATTATAGAGTTTTAAGATCTTAACAGAAGAGACTTGAGCAGTCACGTGTGGTAGCCTGTGACAGGACGCATCTCTCCTGACAGGTGAGCCGGCCTCTGCTCACAGACCTCCATAAGTAGGCACTACCCAGCTCCTCTTTGCCTGTTCTAACGTTATATGTTCCCATCTTGGGCATAGGAACTAGATTCTGACACAAATAGATTTTGAAAAGTTCCTTCCGAAACCTTTAGAAGCCTTGCTTCAAGATCATTGTGATTTGAGAATCTGGGAAGGAAGTTAAAGGCAGGATGGCAAGCAAGATAGCACAGGATGCTGGCTTAGCGAATAGAAGCCAAGTAACTATTGCAGACAGGCAGGGAGTGTTCTCTGATTTGCAAGCTACAGTTATTCTAATTGATTTCTGCATACTTGTGGATAGGGATCTGCCCTCTTCCATTTATTTTTCTCTCAACAAGGAAGATGTGAAATGTTGCTCCATGCCTTTCTAATTTAAATGTTGCACATGTTGAGAACCGATCTTGCCAGCCATTTTAAGCCTGGCCAGGAACCTAACACATTGTTGTTATTAGCCTTCATTATTTGGTTAGAGCCAACATTTTGTTTGGAACTATGCTGCAGTATAAATCTCCTTTATAGACATAACCTATTTCTGCCATAAAGTAGATGCGATGAGAAGGCCGCTGAGTTTCCTTGGTGAGTTGCTCTAGTTAGTCTCACGAGGCTGCTGAGGCCAGGGGATGCTCATTGTGAGAGAGTTCTTGGGAAATGAGATTCGTGTTCTTGAGGACTTATAATTGAGCTGAGGAGAAGGACACATGGATAGCTAATCTAAGGTGGTTTGTGAAAAGTACACATGTACAAAGATCAGAGGGAGCTTAGGGGAGAAACAGAGCATTACCTCACGGCTCACATTGGGTGGCTGTGGACGACGTCCTTGAAGCCATATGCACCACGTTCAGTCTGAGTAAACCATCTGTCTCACACACATGTGCACTATTGCTTTCCAAATATGTAGATGCCCTGGTGGCCTACAATACTTTTGAACGAATTCTTGTATCATTACTATTTATTGTATAACTATTTGCCATGCTGTGTATTTTTGATCAGTAGATTCTACACTTACAGTTTCTATCATGGGCATCTGTGAAACTTTTTCATGTTAAAAATTGTTTCCGTTACTTCAGGGTTAGAAACTTCCATTGTCTGAAGCAGTGCTGTCCACTAGGACCTTCTGTGATCATAGAAATGTCTCTGCATTGTCCAGTAGGGTAGTCATTAACTCCATATAGCACTCGAGGACTTGAAATACGACTAGTGGGACTGAGGAGCTGAATTTTTAATTTTGTTTGATTTTAATTGATTTAAACTTAAATAGACACACATTAAATAGAGGCTACCGTATTGGACAACACAGATCTAACATATCCCTTTGTAGATAATTTTCTAAAACTCCTCCCTCTTTCCCCAAGTTTCCTCTGCCACGCCCCTTCCTAGTTTGTTTAGACTTCTACCCACATGTGGGTGGCTGCCAGGCCCACTTCTTCTCAGGTGCTCCTATTCCTGAATGTTCCTTAGCCCAAGAGCAGAGTTCTCTCACAGATGTGACTTTGAAAGCCTTTCCTAAATCATAGAAATGAAAAGGAACGGTGTGCTCGCTTCGGCAGCACTTATACTAAAATTGGAACGATACAGAGAAGATTAGCATGGCCCCTGCGCAAGGATGACACGCAAATTCGTGGACCATTCCATATTTTTGAGGGCGTGAAGAAAAGGGAACCCTCTTGCACTGTTGGTGGGAATGTAAATTGATACAGCCACTATGGAGAACAGTATGGAGGTTCCCTAAAAAGCTAAAAATACAGCTACCATACAACCCAGCAATCTCACTACTGGGCATATACCCTGAGAAAACCATAATTCAAAAAGAGTCATGTACCACAATGTTCATTGCAGCTCTATTTACAATAGCCAGGACATGGAAGCAACCTAAGTGTCCATCGGCAGATGAATAGATAAAGAAGATGTGGCACACGTATATAACGGAATAGTACTTAGCCATAAAAAGGGACGAAATTGAGTTATTTGTAATGAGGTGGATGGACCTAGAGTCTGTCATACAGAGTGAAGTAAGTCAGAAAGAGAAAAACAAATACTGTATGCTAACGCACATATATGGAATCTAAAAAAAACGGTACTGATGAACCTAGTGGCAGGGCAGGAATAAAGACACAGGTGAAGAGAACGGGCTTGAGGACACAGCGGGGGAAGGGGAAGCTAGGACAAAGTGAGAGAGTGGCACGGACATATATACACTACCAAATGTAAAATAGACAGCTAGTGGGAAGCAGCCGCATAGCACAGGGAGATCAGCTCGGTGCATTGTGACCACCTAGAGGGGTGGGATAGGGAGGGTGGGAGGGAGATGCAAGAGGGAGGGCATATGAAGATACATGTATATGTATAGCTGATTCACTTTGTTGTATAGCAGAAACTAACACACCACTGTAAAGCAATTATACTCCAATAAAGATACATAAAAAAAAGTTGACTATTTGGTAGGCTATAAATAATTATTAGAAACTCAGAAGTCAAAATCTTATTCTAGGGCACTCATTAAGCAAGAAATTTTCCTTTTCCTTTGTTCTCCTGATGATTATTAAAAAAAATTAATAGAGTTCATAGCATTTTACAAGTTACGACTCTTGGGGCCTTCTAAAATCATCATGGGCAGCAGCAGAAGCCATGACATAAAGGCTTCTATTAAGGTAAAATCACGAGACGATATATTTCTGAACATAAAATTCTACCTTATATTTATATATTTATTATATCAATAGATACAGTGCTAGTTGGATTACTAGGTAATTCAAAATCGTTATTTTTCCTAAAAGATTTTTGTCATTCACTGTTTCAAAACAAGATGAAGGAAGAAGGCAGTAACATGTAGAATTCAAAAAAGCACATGAACTCGTGCTTGAGGACCTCCCATCAAAATAATGAACACCAGAGCTTCCCTGATGGCGCAGTGGTTGAGAGTCCGCCTGCTGATGCAGGGGACATGGGTTCGTGCCTCGGTCTGGGGGGATCCCACATGCCGCCCAGCGGCTGGGCCCGTGAGCCGTGGCTGCTGAGCCTGCGCGTCCGGAGCCTGTGCTCCGCAACGGGAGAGGCCACGGCAGTGAGAAGCCCGCGTACTGCAAAAAATTAATAATAATGATGAACACCTTTCATGGACCAGCCTGGGAAGAGGTCTTACTATCATGGAGGGCCTTCAAGCCCACCGGCTCCGCAAGTGTGAGGGCTGCACGGCTGCTCTCCGCTGCTCTCGGGGTGGGCTCTCATTTCCTGCTCTTCCTGCTTTGAGGCCTAAGGCTTGGAGCTTTCTTCAGATAACCAGACCCAGAGCAAGGAAAGTTTCATTTGCTGAACCAAGAGGCCGGAATGTGTCCACCTGGCTCTTGCTGGGCGGTGTGCCCTGATGCCAAGCATGCTAACAGGAGAGGAAGCCTAAAGGCCACTGCACCCCACGTGCCCAGTGTATGAACCCACAGCAAGATGAGAGCGAAACATTGATGGGTGTCTTGTGACCCATTCTGTGGATCCGGATTCTTCCACTCTTCCCCCTCTTTCATAAATTTAAAATTGTTGGACATCTCTTCTCATAGCACCTCCTTTCGCTGTATTTGTGCTGTTTTCATGAAACACGTACCTCTGTGGTCTGCTAATCTCCATTTTACAGGAGATGACTGGGTTGTTGTGACAGTGGGTGGTGGTGGTGGGGTGTGTGTGTATGTGTGTGTGTTGGGAACGAATCCGGAGGGGAGGTGGTGAAGAGTGGAGTTCGGGGAACGCCAGCTGGCAAAGACAAGTGAGCATCTGCAAATATAAAATACCGGCCTGAATTTGCTTCCCTTTCTATTCTATGGTAAACACGAAAGAGTACAAAGGGAAACTTAGTCTGCTGTGAGCCCCCAGGAAGAATATCCATTCTTGCCCTGCGCTCCTGAGACCCCTGCAGTGTTTCGGAAAGGAGCCGAAAGAACAGTGTGGTTTGGGGTCTGTACTGCTCCCCTCCCTTGGGTCTTCCTGTGCCCAGGCTGCCACCCCTCTTCCTCCAGCACCTGAGCAGCTACGGGTGACCCTTTCTGCAGGACTAGGGCCTTCTCCTTGATAGACCTGTGAGGAAAACCTAACGGGCAGTGCTAAACATCCTCAGGTCTCTCCAGTGTGGTTGGTTTAGTCATATGAAACTTCTTAACCTTCATGTGTTTGTTTCATGTATTTTCATTCTGGTTACAAGATTATACCAACTTATTGTGTCTTCTAAATTTTCCTCTTTGCTGTTTGAGTCTGTATATGTATATATATATTTCTTTGATTAGAATATCTTAGCCTGAAAGCCTCTGATGTTCACTGTAGGAAACTAGTACAAGGCTAATTACCTGCCAGCAAACTTTGCATTGCTGGATGTTTCAGTAATTGCCTTCAAATGTAGTGAAGAGGTTGCAGGTTTGATGAAATGCTTACGAGCGGCGGCTTTAGGGAAATCAACCTCTCCATTTTCCATTCTGAATTCCAAATTACTGTGTATTAACACATCTGTCTCCTGCCTTTTTTTATTTCAGTACCTACTAGAAATGAAAAGCTTAATTCTGCCCCCAGAACATATCCTGAAGAGAGGGGACAGTGAAGCAATAGCATATGCATTCTTTCATCTGGCACACTGGAAGAGGGTAGAAGGGGCTTTGAATCTTCTGCATTGTACGTGGGAAGGCAGTAAGTAATTTTCTTTCTTTGAAATGTTTTTAAAGCATGAAAAGATGCTAAAACTGTTTTTCCCCTGAGTGTTCACGGTGAGTGATGGAGATTTGCATATCTATAGCTCTCCTTCTCTGTGATATTCCATCACCAAGAGATGGTTAATTACTCAGGCTCTCTAGTTTCCCAGTGGTGGCGGGTGTTACTGTGGTGATCCCATCTCTGCAGCTCAAAAAGGCAAGTTTATACAGTGGATGGGGTGAGTCTGGGCTATCCTGGCAGAGGAGCATTTTACAGCTGGAAAACCCTCTTTGGAGACCTGGACAGCCCCTCGGCACCATGGGAACCTTTGGCGTGGGGTCAGGCCTCGTGCTGGGCTCTGATGACCACTTCTGGATGGCCTTTCTGGGAGGGTTGGCTGAAGAGCCGCAGTTATCCTCCGGGAGAGCTGGGTTAGCCAAACACAAACGAGCAGCGGTTACGCTTGCTTCAGAACAAGAGCAGTGGCCGCTGGACTCCAGTATGGTGGCAGGTGTAGCATTGTGCGTTAAGGGATAAATGCCTGTTAGATGGATGTGGGGATAAACTGATCTGAGCACGAGCTGGGCACCATCATTCCGTGTAAGGAGAAGCGGCTCCAACGGTGGGTGAGACGTGCTCCCTGCCCTGGAGAAGCATTTCATCCAGTTGGGAGGAGTCATCAGCAGCATGTAACAGCTGCCCAGTGATTCTTCAGACAGGAGAGGCCTATGGGGTGGAGCAGGCATGGTTAACCTTATGGGTCATATGAGATTTGAACCAAGCCTTGAAGAACTGGGACGGTATTATAAGCAAGGACACTGTGAACAAATGCTAAGCGGTGGGGCTGTTGGGGAGAATGAAAATTAAGGAAAAAGGCTCAAGATTGTGGATTATTGGACCACATATATATTGACACTCAGTTATCATTAACTTAAGCAAAACAAACACAACATGTAGCATGGGTTTTTTATTCCCCCCTCTCATGGGGAAAAGAAATATTAGAGTCTTCAGATAATTTTTCCTTAGTTCACTCCTACTCTGATTAGCCTCACAAATGAATGTCTTTTTAATTCCTTTCACTGTTTATCTTTGCTCCTTCCATTTTCATTTTGCTAATCTTCTGCTCTTCCCTTTTCCTGCCCTTCCCTAACCCAGCAGGAATCTAAACTGGTGCAGGAAGGGAGGGGGGGCAGCCGAATGAGATGGAGTAAAAGTAACTTGACAGGGGACTCAGGTTGATTGAAAGTTTTTTGTTTAGTTGTTTTGAAAACATTTCTTTAGAGAATTGATAGCGGGTCAAGTTAAATCATTTACTATTTATAACTTGAGGGATATCGACTTGATCGATGTTTCTACCCCTACTCTGTAAGTGTGGTAACATACTCCAGGTGTCCTGGTCCCGCTATTTGGGTATGTTAAGACAGCACACTCTGCTCAGGGTGTGTGTGGACATGTATGCAGTCCCCTCTGGCTTGGGCTTCTTGTTGCATTTAAAATGTTCTATCCAGATGAGACAAAAGGAATTTTTATTTAAACATGAGAAAGAGACAGAAAAAGCCCAGCAAGAATAAACATGAGAGGCCTCACCTAGTGTTAGTCGTGGTAAAATTAAATGGACAAACTGACTTAACCAAATAAGAACGTATTTATAGATCGGTACCTTGGAAACATAGTAATAGAAGCTTATTGATTGGATCTAATTGATAAGAAAGTTACCAGTCCTATAGAAAAGGTCAAAAGCGGGTGGGCAGAAGTGATGAAGACACAGTGTCAGGAATGGCATAACTATTAAAAAAAAAAACCATGAGGAAATTCTGTTTGGAAATTAGTTACCCATATAATCATGTAACAATAGGGAGATGCTCTGGAACAACTGGGAAGGACAGTGAGATTGTGAGAAATGTGAAGTGACATAGTGAACCCCACATCAAGCAGTGTAGTACCTCTGAGGGGATGTAATTACCTCTTTATTAGAATAAAAAGGGGTGAGTTTTTTGTTTTGTTTTTGTTTGTTTATTTGGTTTGGTTTTTTTAAACATCTTTATTAGAGTATAATTGCTTTACAATGGTGTGTCAGTTTCTGCTTTATAACAAAGTGAATCAGTTATACATATACATATATCCCCATATCTCTTCCCTCTTGCATCTCCCTCCTCCCACTCTCCCTATCCCACCCCTCTAGGTGGTCACAATGCACCGAGCTGATCTCCCTGTGCTATGTGGCTGCTTCCCACTAGCTATCTATTTTACGTTTGGTAGTGTATGTATGTCCATGCCACTCTCTCACTTTGTCCCAGCTTCCCCTTCCCCTCCCCGTATCCTCAAGTCTGTTCTCTAGTAGGTAGGGGTGAGTTTTTAGACATAAAACAGTGTGGCAAGGTAGTCAGGGGCCTATAGGAAAGATAAATTCAGCATCTGATCCTTACAGATAATTAAGAACCAGGAAGTTACGCTGCTGTTCAGTTTTCAAAAAGAGAGCCATACCATTCAGTTTTAGAAAGAAAAGAGAACCATGAGAGTGCTTACCAGGTGCTAACTACCTTGGAGGATCCCAAGAACCTTGAAGAGTGTTTGTGTAACAGTGTAATTCACAGAGGGTTTGTATTGCCATCATTTCATGGACTCCTGATAAATTTCTGAGTTAGGCAGGACAGAGGTGGCCATCTTAGTTGATCAAGAGAGGAACAGGTTCATTGAGGTGAGTACCTTGTTGAACGTCCTGCCAGCACTGTTGGCAGAGCCAGGTTCACTTTTTCTTCACTGCTCTTTCCTATAATACCAGCTATTTAGGCCTTTCCTGAATTGATTAAGGATAAGAGGATCAGCCATCTCTGAAACATTTGTTTAGAAGCCATCAATTTACACCACTGCTTACAGTCTGGGGTATACCTATGCCCTTTCTAGTGTTTTGAAAGTTAATCATTCTATATAAAATTATATTTTTGTTGTTAAATATTGACGTAAACATTTTAACTATAGAATGAGCCCAATTCTATAAAAAAAAATACATTCTATATATAAACAAAGGTAAGAGACTGGAAATAAATACATCTTTAAGTAGATTTTAAGTGATTTGGTTTTTTCTTCCTATTTGTATTTTTCAAACTTTCTACAACAAGCATATATATTTTCTACAGGCATAAATATGCATGTGTATATATGTGTATGTGTATATATATGTATATGCATGTACTTAGAAAAATAATCTTTCATTACAAACAGTTTTGGTCTTTTTTCAAAAACAGAGCTATAAATCTGTCTTGCAATTCAGAAGAAAGAATTACCACTCCAACTTTAGACAATTGTGTGTAATTGGTTGACAAAACTTCTAGATTTGTGTCCATTCTAAGTTAAATGGAGGCATCAGGGCTCTGGATTTTAAATCAAAAGGGCTTGGATTAGAATTCTGACTTAGCTACCTATTAACTGGTATTAACTTACCCATTTTTTGAAAACTGTGAAGCGCTGAAGGTACTGAATGCCATCACCCCATCCCAGATTGGTGGGCTTCAGGGCAGTTGCCCTCAGGGCGGCTACAGTACCAGAACCTCTCCCTCTCCCTCTGAGGTCAGTGGGGCTCCCGTAGACGGCCTGTGCCTGAGCGCAGGAGGCTGCACTTCCTCCAGTTCACCACTGGGTGCCGCATTTTGACATCTCCAGCCTCAGGGTCTAGGTTTTTGCCTTTAAATCATTTCTTTCTTCATTCTGAAATTTAAGGCCATTCCCCAACTCCCTTCCAGTTTCCCCTTTTCATTAGAAAGATAATTCAGGGAGGAAGGTAACAGTGCCTCATTTCACCATGTTCCATGTTAAAAGTGAGTATTCTTTTAAAAAGTCAGTTTATCTTTTAGAAAAAATTTTAAAAGCCTGACTTATGTCAAAAGTGTTAGTTAGGGGTAGGGATGAGGTATATTTTTCTTTGATTTTTAATGAGTTTATTATGTCGGAGCATTAGTCATCTTGTGGAATTAAGTGAGTTTCCCACCAATCAGGCTGAAATAACTCACATTTTTGTTAAAACCCCAAAGTCCAGCTGATGCATGGCAGAGATTGTTTGGGTTTGAAACATATGGTGGTTTAAAAAAAAAACAGAGTCCTCAACCACAAATACATCAGCATTTCAAAGGTTTGTAAAATATTTGATTCATCACTGTCCCAGCCCCTGAAATTACACAATATGTTCCTCAAAATCAAGATAATGAAGAAATGGGGAAAGTTTTAATTTATAAGGTTTAAAAACATGTTTCTTAATTCATTACACAGCTGTCACATTATCTTAATTATATTTATTTTAAACACTGTAGGTTCTGGTTACGCTCACACACGTGCACACACACGACTGCAAGTGTGTGTTGAATGTAAAAGCCATATATGAATGAGGGATCTCGTTGGAATTGTGTATTATTTACAATGGTATCGCGCCTTATGGGGCCCTATTTTAAATGGCACATCTTCTATTTTACCTGTATTAAATACTGATGTGGCCTTATCTCCCTTCTACCTTGATCTTTTCAGGGCTCTGTTTTGGCTGTATTTATTTTGTAAAGCAGAATAGTCTGCTGACCACAGCTGTGAACTTTAAGGTTTAATTTTCAGGTTCTATATATCAGAAGGCTAGAGTGCCATGGGGTAAATCGCTTAGCTTTTCTTTGTTTCCATTTTTTCCACTTGATCAAGTAAGACTCTTTATTTTCTTTTTGGAGATTTTTTTTCCAAAGAATTCACTAAATAATGTATAAGATTTGAAGGTGGTGTTTTTTAGGGGGACTAGGCAAAGTATTTCCTTTGAGAGGAGAAAATGGTCCATTGTTGAAGCAAAGGATGAGATTCTGATTCTAATTTATTCTCTTTGAACCTGATGGTAAATGCTACTTGCTGTAAGATGTGGTCCTTAGGGCATTTCCTCTAACCAAACCTTTCCTCCAAAAGCCTGGCACCTTTGGGACTGCTAAAGAGAAATTCTTCCACCCCTCACCCCATAGATCTAAGGCTAAATTTTATAATTTAGGAGAAAACAATGGCCAGCTGAAGTCCCTGGCCGTAGCCAACTTAACACTAGTAGCCAGACTCCAAATATTATTCAGCGCTTCCCCACCTACTGCCCAGTAGGACCAAGCTTGCTCCTTTCAGTTATTCAGTTTTGAGCCGCTGACCGTACTTTGGATCCACTGGGGTTTTTAAAGGGAAAAATTCTGTCTCTGCCCTATTGTGCATTAACTTATTCATTCCTTTATTCAATTAACATTCATTGAGTCCCTCCTTTGTGCCAGGCATTCTTTTGGGGATACCAAGATGAGTCAGACTCTGAAACGCTTTGAGAGAAACATTAGTGTGTGTGTGTGTGTGTGTGTGTGTGTGTGTGTATACACATATTCTCACAGATACATACACACACATGTATAATATATAGTGTGGATACAAGCAGTGGAAGCAGGAACAGAGTGTTACAGAGTGTTGCAGGTCACTAACAAATTAGTGAATCTGCTATAAAACTCTAGAAGTTTTCTTCAGAATTGGAATGGAGCATCATGTAATCTAACCAAAGGAAAGTGGTTTTCCCAAGGCCATATAAGTAGATAGTGGAAAAACGTGGATCAGAACCCAAGCTTTTGACTTCTGAATTTTCCTTATTGTGCCCAAAGTCTCACAAAAGACAAAGAGCCTTTATGGCCAGTTGCCCACATTACAGTCAAAAGTGAGAACATAAAATGTGTATTTTGATGAAAGTTTTCTGTTCTATCATTTGCACTTCTAATTGTTCACAAACAAGCAGCATTTTCACTTATAAGCTAGAGTATGACCTGTTAGAGAAAGGAGGAACTTGGGGTTAGTGGAAAGGCATGGTAAAGAGAAAACTAACTTTCATTGAGCAGTCAGGCACTATGTGTGGACACGTTGACCTCCGCTGTCACACTTAGTCCCTTTAACAGCCTCTCGAGGTCCTTGGTGTTCTCATTTTTACGGCCGAAGAGACTGGACACAGATTAATGACCCACCCAAAGTCATACAGTTGTCAGCCTGGTCAAGTTTGACTCATCCTGAGCTGTCACCTCCACCACTCCCCCATTAGGTATGGGCTATCACAGGGGGACTTTCACTCTTGTTTTCCTGATTATTGGCTCATCTGTTTCCCACCCTGGGTGGTCAGCTCCATCAGTGCAGGGGCAGTGCATACTTGGCTCACCTTTCTATCGCTGCTGCATGAGGAAGGCACTCAACATTTTGACCATGTAGAGCTGGGATTCAAACTCAGTTCTTGCTATTGCAAGGGGTCTGTATAAAGTTCTCTGAGATCCTCTTTGAAAGGCAACATAGACAAACAAAGTATCAAACATTACCTTCTATCCTTGTCTACATTGTGGACAGGATGAGAGCACATTAGAAGTCACTGGGGAAATCAGGAATTAATTTGTTCATGTAACCATCCTTCTGTTCGTTCTTTGGTTCTGTTGATTCTTTCTCCAGTATTGGTCGAGTCTCTGATTGGCACAGCACTGCTAGGCTTGGTGCCTAGAAAACGTGTCTGGGCAGGGGTGGAAAGCAGCTGTGTAACGCATCACATGTCATTGTGGAGAGCCTGCTGTGTTCATTAAGTAGTTCCCAGTTTCATTTTGCCTCTCCCACAAAGGCACAATAGAAACCAAGGTAGGGGAGGGGATGGCACAAAAGGAAAATGCAACAATGCCACTTGTGTCCCGTGTATTAACTCTGAGTGGTCCAGGTTTTTGGTTTCGTTTTTAACCAAATACATGTACATTTTTAATTCCTCTGAAGTGTATGTTTTTTCGGACGGAGATTTTTTAGGAGGTTTTTAGTCAGTCATGAAGTAGATCAAATTCATAAAATAGTTCAAATGACCTTTTTTCCATTCTTCCTTGCCCTGCGAAATCAGCGTGTTACTGTTTGCACTTGCAAAAGTTCTGGACATTCGGCTCAAGCCACGAGGTTCTTGTGGAGCAGTGTCGTGTCTTTGCAGTGAAAGGGACCAGGCGGTGGGAGGTGAAGCTGGCCCGGCTCGTGCAGTGCCTCCTCCACTCTTTGCAGACCCCCACTGCTTATCGCACACTTTGCTGGGCCCCGCACAGCAGGGTGGACCAAGGATAGAATTGCAAACAGAAATTGTGCTTGCTTTTGTTTAGTGAAGCCAAAAGTCTTAATATTATTTTATGAACTTGATGTAAATGACAACTGACATGAGAATGAGAAATTTTAAGAGCACATAAGCGTCTTTACAATCCCAGGGGTTGGGGGCAGAGGACAGTACAGAAAGTGTGTGTTTGTGTGTGTATTCTTTCTTGAGTCGTATATAATCAGTGCCTTCACCCTCTCCAAAAAGACCAGAACTGATTAGAAGAAGGAAAAGACTAACTTGATGCACAGAATTTGTATGCATGCCAAGTCCTGGAGTAAAAACTATTTGGCGTCTGACTGAAAAGACACCAAGCAACCATTTGATGTCTATGGTTGAACACTCTCAAGGTCTTGCACTCCTATATTTCAGTTAAAAAATTGCTCCCTGAAGTGCAAACTGACTTCAATTTTGAACAAAATTTAGCATTCAAATTTATAGCCACTTTGAAAACTGAGGGTTTATTTATATCATATGAACCTGAACAGATTCTTAATTACAGCAGCCCTAGTGCACATGGAGAATCTGGATTTCAAAAAAAAAAAAAAAACTTCCACATAGGTTTTTCTACATTTTTGAGATGCTTTCATAGCAGCCATCATTCATGGGAAATAGTATTAAAATCCTGCCATACTGCAGTTTAAATTTAAACGCACTGCTTCCCAGTAGAGAGTTTAGTGTATCCTATAAAGGCACTAAATGGATTTTTTCGGTTTTGTAATTTTTTCCCTTCTCTTGCAAGCCTGATTCTACCGAGAGAGATGCTGGTCCCTTTGAGTAATCTTTGTGTGTTAACAACCTGTACAGGGAACTCCTCTCTTGCTTGTTGTAATGGGCAGAAGTCATCTTGGTTTGCATGAAAGAGAAGGTCTGATTGAACTAGGGTGAGCCTTTCATTTTAAGAAGAGTTAAAGTCTGGGGTGTTTTTAATGTTTTAATCTCTGTTTAAGAGGTTTCTGTTATGAGAGGAAAATTGATAACATTTTTACCTCAGCCAACTGGCTCTGCTCTAATCCCACGTTTATAGTGATTTATATTCTCCGTGGCAATGTGCTGTAACCTCAGAGTGATACCACTGTGGTGTAGATTGACTGCATTCCAAATGCTGGAATCACATACATAATGTTTTTACTTTTAAATAATATTCAGACACCAGAATAAATACCATATGTGCACTGATGCTGGTTACAATGGAACCTTGTCATTTCTTGTGAGGGAGAACATTCTTTGTTTCTGATTTCTGTTTGAAATAAGTACGCAAAAGATAAATATGTACATTGACAGCATTTTGAGAAGGCTCAGGTAATTGCACAGCTGAGGATGTAGCTAGGAGTCCTTGAAATGTAGCATTTAAGACTGAAAAGGCTGCTGTGTTGCCACCATCCCTTTTTGACACACATGAAGGCAAGGACTGTAATCTGACATGCCCAGTGTAGGGTTTAGTTTTTATATTTTATAGCTACAGCATGCTGTAGTTACCGGACATCTGTTGAAGAAAAATTACCTCGAGTACTGTTCATAGAAACAGTGAGACTAACGTGCTGATGACCTCGTAACAGGGAGAGTAACACACGTGATAACGGGAAGGGATGGATTGATTGGAAAGTCATAATTCAGTGTGAGACCTAATGTTATCTGATGCCACGAAACCAGAACTTACGTGGCCTGATATCATCAAAATACAGATAATCAGTCTCTCCAGATCCATTTTTTCCCCACATGATGTTGAAGATTTAAAAGTTTCATAAAGTTTAGAAATACCTCCCAAGTCATGCATTTTTAGGTTCTTGTTTTCATCCATCTTGGTTGGAATTCTAATCCACCTAGACATATTTTTTAAATAGACATGCTAGAATGCCTTTCATATTTGTGCATCTGTGACACGATCCAACAAGTCAGTCCACGTTTGCTTCTCGGGGAAGCATTTCTATCCAGGTTTGCGTTATTACCATCAGGTGAGCTATATTGAATGAGTGCTTACGACGTTTTCGTAATATTTTGTAGATGAGGAAACCCTGGGCATTGGAATTGCTGGCTTTCCCTACTCCTCTGCACCCCCATCCCCACTCAGTTTTGTGAGGTTCTCCCAGAATATACAGTGTGAGGTTAATGTGTGAGGCATACCTCATGATGCATCTCTGTCAGCTTATCTAGCACATGACTCAGAGTTTGGGTACGTCTTGCCTCCTTCATGGGAGCTATTTGTAGAAGTGTTCAGTGTGAGACCTAATGTTTTTTATAATTTTATAATGTGAGCCATTATAAAAATGCTCAAAAGTCTCTTTGTGGACTTGAGAAGTTATGAGACAAATATTGTACCTCTAACGTATTGTCTCTCCTTTGCAGCTTTTCGGATGATCCCTTATCCCTTGGAAAAGGGGCATCTATTTTATCCTTACCCCATCTGTACAGAAACAGCAGATCGTGAGCTGCTTCCATGTGAGTCTCCCCTCCATAATCCTCCCTTTGGCTGGTGAGGGTGGTGTGCCAAAGACTGGGATGGGAAGAGGTGGAAATGATAAATGTTTATGATGTTCCTTGTCTTTTATTACTCTTCTCCCAAACCCTGTCCTCATTTGATAGCATAAGCATTAAAGTGAGTTATGTGTGTAGGTTTGGCTTCCTGCTTCTCCACGTCTCTCCAGATTCATCAAAGGGAAAGACCCGCCCAGGTCTGAAATGTAGATGAAGAGCCATCATGTACTGGTTGGTCTGAGCGCAGAGACCCCTAGTTTGGGGCAGAGACCCCTAGTTTGGGGCAGATGCCCCTTGCTGGGCTGATCCACTGTGCGGGGCTCGGCCTGGGCTCTCCCTCTGGTCAGAGGCAGTCTGCACAGACCGGAGTCTGGAGGGGAGGCACTGGCTTCAGAGGGAGCTGCAGATGAGCCATGGGTGGGAGGGTGGCACGGGGACGCTGGCATTGTGGCCAGAGGCGGAGTCGTGGGCAGGGTGGGGCTGCCCTCTGCGGTGATGCGGTGCTCTTCGCCGGCGGGATTTCCCGTGGGCATCTCACGGATGGCGCACAGTGAGCTGGTGTAACGTGTGCAGGGCACACGTGCAGCCTCAACACTGTATATAGCAGGCGGCAGGCAAACCCTGCCCTCGAGGGCCTTACAAGCTAGCAGTCGGGGGGCCCATACCACACGTGGAAAGTATGATTTGGTTTACTGTAATGCAACATTGTTTTGACAATTCCGGCTAAATAGTTATTATCAAATTATACTGTGTATGAAGAGCATGTCCAGGCTGTTCATGTGGCCCTGACTTAGGACATACTTTCCTCCCTCAGATAATACGCTCCAAATCTTGGTTGCTCTCTCTTCCCCGTCCTCTCTTCTGCCACAACCACCCTGCACCAGCCCCAGCTACGTCACATCTCATAGCTGTAACATATTTAAATGCTTTGCCAGGAGGGCCAGTATAACTGTGGAGCCCTGAGTGTTGGCAGATTGTTTAATGCCCACGTTTTTGAGCTGGTCGTAAATCTCCAATGTAGTGGGTGCAAAACAAGGCTGCCGTCTCAGGTTGAAAGAGCAGGAGGCAGCTCTCTCATTTCTTTGCAGGACAGACCCACTGGGAGACATGTTACCTTGGGAGCTGGGAGACCTCAGAGGGGTGTGGTTCCTCACCATCTGAGTTTATTGTGGAAAAGCATCGGGTGCCTCGCTCTGCATTAGATTTGATTTCAGAAATCCCTGTGATGGGCCCATGCTTTACCTTTTGACTCCCCCTTCAGGGAGATCCTTGTTAACATTTACGGTTTCTGGTAAGAAAGGCAGTTTTCTGAAAAGTACACTTTTAAAATGTTTTAATTGAGTCCAATCATGTTTCCATGGGGATAGATTCACTATTAGAACAAGATTACAGTTCTTAAAAGAAACTGTCTAGGAATAATCTTTACAGTCCTGGAATAGAAAACTATTTTTCTATCTATAAATAAACTATCACGTTTATTTATTTGAATGCAGTGGTTCAAGTCTGATCTCCCCTCAAAATCATTGGGTGCTGAGGGTGAGGATGGGATGGGGGTAGGTGGCTTTACATGTTACCTGCGTGCTGCACGTGAGTGGTGTAGTGTCCACGGTGGTCCCGAGCACATGTCCACCCATGAAGAATCCTAGCAGGTTGACATCCCTGGATTCAGGTGCATGTGCTCGTTTGTGCTTTGTCCCTCCTTGGCCCTCTACACCCTCAGTTTCAGCAGAGTGGACTACTGCTTAGAGCTGAAAGGTCAAGGAAAGGCTTGAGACCTTGGATTTCCTGAGGAAGATGGAGACCCTCGAATCTTTTGGTTTGAGTGGCAGTGTAGTTCACACACAGCCTCACGGCTCCCCTCCACTGGGCCAGCCTCAGTTGCTTTTCTGTCTGTGCGGACCACTCGAAATTTAAAAGTTATGAAAGGCTCTAAAATCTCCCATTTTTGATGGATGGATGGTCCTCGCTGGATGTCTCTCTATCAGGGTGGCACCCTCCACTGACATAGTTAGATTGTACCAGGAAAAAATACAAGATACACTAATATCACCCTATCACAATGATTTAAAAACTACAGGAAAAGTGAAAACCTAGAGAGAGGATTTTTTTTTCAGTATACTTGACTTTGGATTTTCCAGGTTTTGTTCAATGAACATGTGTTTTATAATTTGAATAAAGTTTTGTTTTATTTGTGTTTGCTTTTGCAAAAGAAATACTGTATATTAGGCATAGATTGTGTTACTGTCCCTGCCCATGAGTGTGTGACATCCCCAAATTAGCCCTATCATGCCCTAGATAGAGTTCTGAAGGTTGAACGTGGACTTGGGAGAAGCAGATAGGCCACCAAAGGCTGGCTGAAATGTGGGCTCTTCTTCGTTCCAGGGCCCTACCTTTTTCATTTCCAGCAGACTTGAGCCAAAGCTCTGCAGAGTCAGTCCCACCTACAGAAATTCCCTGAGAATGCATTTTACTGCAGCCCTAACACTTCCCTTTTGATCTTCTCCACAGCTTTCCATGAAGTCTCAGTTTACCCAAAAAAGGAGCTTCCCTTCTTTATCCTCTTCACTGCTGGATTGTGTTCCTTCACAGCCATGCTGGCCCTCCTGACACATCAGTTCCCGGAACTCATGGGGGTCTTTGCGAAAGCTGTGAGTATTTGCCAAGGGGGAGGCCGCAGGCAAGGGGCAGGCAAGTCAAGAGAAGCAGCATAAGAGAAAGAGAGGAGTGTTGTGTAGAAGTGGACGTGCTTGTATTGATCCTTTGCATACTGTTCAATTTTCATTATCATCAGTGAGATCAAGGGTTGAGGGTCAGAATGAGAAAGTGTAGCTTGTTTGTTACCGCATGCCTTGCCTATTTCACAGACACAAAAATTCTCAGCAGTTCCCCTAAAATAATGCATGAGGTCTAAAAGAATTAAAGAATTAAGGGAATCCTAGCAAATGAAAAATACTTGGGAGATTTTTCAGTTTTGTATAAATTGAATGACATCATTTCTAATCTTTAGATATTGTAGGTCTTTCCTTCAAGAAAGATAGAATTTACATTTTCAAAGATGATTTAAATTTAAAACGTTTTAATGTCTACAAATTAAATGGCTTGTTTGGGGAATGAACTGAGAGGGTGTGAAGGGTGGGTAGTATTAAGAAGTATACAGATATGATATTTAGAAGTATGGAAATCCATTAAGGGTCTTTAAAGAGGGTTATGGAGAAGGGCTTTAATAAGAAAAGCCATCTGCATTGACAACCAAGAACCATTGTTTCCTTGATGAAAAGTGACCATTTCAGCTTGCACATGCGGTGAGGATAAGTTTACTGATTTTGCCACAGAGGAGTTTCAAACAGAAGGAATAAGGAAAAGAATATCGATTGTTTCCCTGGAACTCCATTCTGATTTCAAGGCGAGTGGAGTCAGCAAGGATGATTTCTAACTTGGCTGGGTTGATTTAATCCCTTTCCAGATGATTGACATTTTCTGCTCGGCAGAGTTCAGGGACTGGAATTGCAAGAGTATTTTCATGCGTGTTGAAGATGAACTGGAAATCCCACCGGCACCTCAATCTCATCATTTTCAAAACTGAACTCATCACCCTTCTTCCCCCACCACCACAACTGCTCCTTCTCCTGTATTCCTGATCTCCGCCAGTGGCACTGATATCCACCCAGTTACTCAAGCCAGAAACTCAGCAGCCCTCCCAAACTCTTCCCTCTCTCACTCCTTATATCCTGTCTGTCTTGGCTTTCACAGTCTGTCGGCTCTAACCTCCTGAGCCACTAGGCATTCGGTAAATGGAATTCACCTCTTCTTCTCCCATGGCTGTCTCTTAGTTTGGATCTTTGTGATTTCTTGCCTGGACACCTGCAAGAGTCTTAACTGGTCTCCTTGCTTCCAGTCTTATCCTCTGCCAGTATTTCTTTCATACTGACAAAAGAATGATCTTTCTAAATTGCAAGTCTGAGCATGTCACTTCCCTGCTTGAATTTCTTCAGTAGTTTCCCACCAGCATCAGGATAAAGTCCCAGATCTTTAGCATGGCATACAGGGTCCTTTATGATCTGGCCCTTGCTTTCCTCTTCAGCCCCATCTCTCTCCCAACTCTTGCACAGACACTGGTCTTGGGCCACAGTGAATTGCTCACCATTCCCAGATGCTTTTGTGAGCCTCGGTGCCTTTGCACGTACTGTTTGCTCTGCATGGAATGCCCTTCCCCATTATCATCAGCACTTGTACAGTCTACTAACGCCTCTTCATTCTTTTATACTCAGCTTCCTTTCTAAGTTTCTCCCAAGCTGAGTTAGATGTTTCTCCTCTCAGCTCCCACAGTATTCCATGAATACCTATATTACGTTTATTGTACTGTATTATAATTGTTAAAAACTTGTCTGACCCCCTTGTAGAATGTGAGCTCTTTGCGAGCAGGACTGTGTCTTTCTCATCTCTGTATCCCCAAAGCTTTGCACAGTGCCTTGCACATAGTAGGTTTTCAATAAATGATTATTAAATAAATAAATGGTAGTGGTTTCTGCAGAAAGAATCAGTGTAAAAAATTAGATACAGCTTAGCATTTCTTCTCTTCTTTTATAATTATGATCACAGACAGAGTTGAAAGGGACCTTAAACTGCCTTCAACAGTAACTTGATGAAGGTCATTTAGACTCATCTGGAATACTTTTAGCGATGGAGTGTTCACCTGTTCAACATGGAAGCCCATTTCCATACTGGATCACTCAGAACTCTTCTTGATACTGATAAAATCTGCCTTCCTTTAATTTCCACTTATTTCCTATTCTACTCTCCAAAACTATAGTGAACAACTCTACTTCCTCTTGCAATTTCTTGAGGCAACTAATATATTCATGGCCACCTCTCACCTCTAACTTACTACCTTCTCTTTTCTTCAGGCAGAATGTCTCCAATTTCCTTAAGTCTTCTGTACATGATATGATTCCTGAACCCAGTATCACCCAAGCTGCCTCCTTAGATGCTCCCTAGTTTATGGGCCTATGCTATTCATTATTTGCTTCTATTCCCAAGCCAACCTTTGAGTTAAAGCAGTTACCAAAAGTCTGACTAGATTAGAGTGTCATGTAGTAAAATTTAAAATAAGAATACATTTACAACATTAGTCAATGTCATTCTTCATTGAACTAACAAGCAGCTCTTGGTGGGAATTTAGGATCAGGACAGTGATTCTCAGCCCCTAGTGTGCACAAAATTCACCTGGCCCTACCACCGGAAGTTCAGAGCCTTGAGTGTTAGCACCCGGGAATCTGCGTTTTTAAACAAGCCCCGCCCCCCCCCCCACCGATTCTAAGGATGGGGGTTGAGGACCATTTCCTTCAAAGAACACTGGTCTCAAAAAAGCCAGCCTTTGAGCAGCCGTTTGCAGGTGCATGGTGCGAAGTCAGAGCTGTTGAGGTGACAGGTTTCTAGGAACCAGCAGTTTCACCCCGGCTGCTCCTTGAAATCATCTAGGGAGCTTAAAAATTACAGGTGCCTGATCTCCCAACCCTGGGGACTCTGACTTAGTTGGTCTGGGATGCAGCCTGGGCATCTGAGTTTTCAGATGCCCCCCTAGTGATTTGGGTGTGCAGCCAGGGCTGAGAGCCCCTGTACTGAATAAAGTAACTGCCTGAAACTGCGTCGCCCAGGGAGAGGGCTGGGAGGAATGGAGGGTAGTACATAGAATACGGCTGGGTGTTCTCTAGGTAAGGCTGTGTAGCCTCCAGAATATCACAGAGATGTGTTCGTTATGGATATTAGACCAAGGGCCACTCTCCTCATTTAATGTTCCCAAAGCTTTGTTTTTGAGTCAAGGACCAGATGATTAAATAAAATATAAATTTACCTTTATGGTCTTCGTATTTTATACTCTACCAAGGTGTGGTAGTTTGGTCAGCTACTCAGAGTTTTCGAAAGTAGTTTAGATAAATTTGCTTTTAAACCTCTGTCTGGAGGATCACATTCATCTTGCCCTTCATTAAGGTTTAGCAGTACTAAAACGTCTGGAGAGATTTCATGGGGAAGGAAGATGGATGGCCTGAAGGAGACAAGCCCCATCTCCCTCCTCCTTCCCCCCACTGCTCCGGAGTCTTCTCCACATTTTCACTCTTGTCACTTCATCAGGCCCCTGGTGAAGCCCCCCGCAGGTTATCACAGCTGCCCTATAGGCTGCCTGCAGCCATTTGCAGCTTGTGAAAATGATTTTCTCAGACCTCGCCTGAGATAATGTCCCTGGGATAATGACTCAGTAGATGGAGAGAGATTGCACTGCCACCCGCCAGGCTGCGTGCAGCTTGGGAACTCTCCAGTGTGTTTACATGTTGATATGCAGCCAGTAAGGAAGCCCGCAGCCAAGTGTGAGCCACTGGAAAATAGTAAAATGAGAGGCTTCAACTCTCTCCGCCTAATCTAATCTACCTCAATGACTTAGGACTAACTCTTCCTAGAATGTTTGGTTACCAAGATAAGGTTGCTCATATAAATAAGTGATCATTCCAAACCCAGCCCCTCACAGAATGTGGGAAGGTCAGCATGCTGACCTCTTCTGTTTGAAGGGCCCTGTCTTTCCTCCTCTGGTCTCTCTCCTTCCCTGAGATCCAGCCCCCTGACTTCTGACTCTTGTCTTCAACTTATGCGCCCTGACCTCTTTGAAGTCTGATATTGATTACAGTGAAATGTCAATTGTCTGATTGCAGTAGGGCACCTGGAACTTATTCAGATAAGCAGAGGCGTTTCAAACGTTAACGAAGCACGTTGCGAGCCATGACCTTCTTCTACATAACGGTGTTTCGGGGAAAAGGAGGATCGGGCGACTGAAGTGTTGCTCTCTCTTTTTTATTAGTTCAGTTGCTTTTTCTCACCACAAGACACTGATTGAATTATGGTGCATTTTGGACCGTGTATGTCTGCCCCCAGGACAGAAGTTTTGGACATTGAGACAGATGAGCTGTTCCAGGGTTGCCTGGTGTTGCTCATTCAGACTTAACTTTTCAGGCAATAAAATTTCCCAAGTCCCTAAGTGAAACTGTTGTTTCTCTATGTGCATTGGTTGAGTCTTCAGCCAAAAAGTGTTGACTGATATTCAGTCGTGCAAAGAAGCATCCTAAGTAAGCAAAGCATGTTCCACCAAACGTTTTTTGTTTAATGCCTCCTGATGAAAGCCACTGACCTTTGGTTACTAAATGAAAAGGGCTTAAGGGTTCCAGGCACCCCATTACATTTTGCTGCTTCTTCCTTGTGGGCGAGGGTTGGGGAGGAGGTCTTGGAGAGCGCTGCTAAGGAGGAAGGTAACCTAGCAACAAAGGGTGCTCATCGCAACTGGGGTGCTGTGAGAGAATTAGGATCTCTAGGAAAGCGTTCAAGGCATTCTCTTCTCGATTGTCCCAAGGATAGAACATTCTAGATACGAGAGAGAGCAGTAAATGATCACATACATGGGAGGTATTAGGAGTTAATTCTCTTGTGGAACCTGGTCGAGAAGCACAGGTGTGTCCAGGGGGCCAGGGCTCACTGCATCTTGCTGCGCAGGGTGGAAAGAGGGGCATTTACAGACCACAAACTGGGCGAGGCCTGCCACTTAATTTCCAGAGGCCTCCCTTTTACGCTTTTTATCCAAGTCAGGTCAGTGACCAAAACTAAGCAAATAGACGGGCCTTTATTTTGAACCAGCTTTGTAACAACATCTCCATTCATTCTGCTACCCAAGCTGAGGCTCCCTGGTGTCCCCCCGTTTAGTGTATGAAGTCGCCCAGGGTGTAGACTTTGAGCGATTCCTATCATCTAACCACACTGGCTCACGCTAATGCATCACTTGTTCCCACCTCAGTCACAACTTCGGTGGTTATAAGTCTGTTTGGGATTAGGTTTGCAGGATATGATAACTTCACCAGCAAAATCACCTTGTTCAGTGGGCCTCATCTTCCTGCCCCTGTCAGCATCCTCGGTTCATCCAGACTGCTTTAGCACCTAGCTCCTCTTAATGGAGCTGAGTATTACAGGCAAATGCCGTGTGTTATGGAGCCTTGACAATCTCTGATTACAAACAAATGGATAAATGTTATGTGTAAATATTTTTAATTCTACAGTGTTATCATGTCGGTCTGATACAATCAGTAGACTTGTTCCATGTCATCCTCTCAGAACTAGGATTTTACAAACTCTTTCGGGGCAGCTCGGGCAGTAATTACTCATTCCTGGGCCTAGTATCTCCCACAATGCCTTCCAACCGCATCCAGCTCTAAACTGAGAAGGACAGGCAGTCCATTAAGTAGGGTGAGCATCCCATGTGGTACTGTGCACCCAACCAAGGATAATTTCAGAAGGTTGCCAGGCATTGCCCTGTATCTAACACCCACTTGAGGAAAGAGCCATCCTACCTTCACTCAAGTACTAACGTGGCTGCCTTTTTCTTAACTGCAAGTTCCTTAGCAGCCTGGCACTCAAGGCCCTCCCCAGAGTTATGCTAGTTGCTTTTGAACTCTACCTCCATCTCTTCTAGTCATACCAGCTGCTTTCCCCACTCTGTTCCAGCTGTTTATTGAGCCTGGAAGGCCCACCTGCTCACATGTCTTTCCTTACCATTCTTACCCCATCTCTGTCTTTTCATACCCCAGCCATCCACTGGGGACTATTTCAGTCACCTCATTTTCAGTTTTTCCTGTTCCTTTCGACAAAATGGATTCTCTCCCTTTCCCAAACCTTCCTGGTGCTTTGTTTGTGCGTCTATCTTCTACTCTGTCATGGTCTACCTGGTATTGTTACTTTGCTGGGTACAGGTCTTAGTGGCTCCCTTCCCCAACCCCTAGGCTTTGAGCTTCCTGACAGTGGGACTTTTGTCCTAGACGCTTTTATATCTCACCCAGTACTTAAGTGCCTTACTGAGTAAATATATTCAATTGATGTAAAAGATGCAGTACAGAGAAGGGTTCCGAACCTTATACTCTCTCGAGTTTTCGTTACACAAATCTCGCACTTGATGGTCCTGCCATAATGTGGTACAGGCCTTCCCAGTTTGCATTCTACTGGTTCTTTAAAAAAAAAAAGAAGAAGAAGAAGAAGAAGGACAGATTCTGAGGTCATGTAAATTTGGGAAACTTGCCTACCATACCCCTTCTCGAGGACCCGCAATCCATAGAACATATGACCAGTAGAGGAGACTGTTTCAACTTCACTACATTCAGGTCTACTAATTTGTCTGGCCTCAGACGATGTTCCCCCTCTGCGTATGTACTCATGTCCTACAGCACACTTCTGTGGGAAATTCTTGGTGGTGTAGACTGTGCTGTGCTATGGGCAAGGGATTGGGACAAAGGACTCCACCGTACAAGAACCAGACATTGAACCCTAGTGAGACGATACCTTGGTTCTGAACAGAGAGCAAGGAAACCCATCCAAACGCCCGTCTTGTGCCTGATTGGGTTAGGGCACCTCTTCTGCCAGACGCTGGATGGCTTGTGGAGGGAGGCTGATTCTTCACGAGAACATAATCAGAACAGACTTGAGATTATGTTAAATGAGTCTCAGGCAAGGCGCCTGACTTTCCTAAAAGGCACAGATAATAAGCATTATTCTCTACATGAAAAACAGAAAGGAATTCAGTAACCAAACGAAAGAGATCCCAAAGCTCTCCTCAGAGCAGCACCTTTTCCACAAGGACGTGTCGTCCATGGACTGGCCAGCTTGCTGCCCTCCCCAAGGCTCCCGTGATGCTCACCACTAAGCAGGTAGTTCAGAAAAGAACATGGGCTGCAGGTGTTTGGGAGACAATAGGATTCCAAAGCAATTCACAACCATACGACAAACTGGACTTTTTTTTTCTGTTGTTGCCTTTTCCACTTAAAGCTCTATAACTAGGCAAGCAGGTGGAGAAGTTGTCACCATTTTTTTAACTCTTCTGCTCACTTGCCACCCATCTGTCAGTCCCTTTTGATGGCACTGGTCATCTCCATGGGCAGCCCTCAGATCCTGAAGGCTGGTTGGAAGGCCTCAGAACTGTGGGCAGCTGTCAGAGGAGTGAAGGGCCTGTCAGCCAACACTTCTCCCCCTCATCCATCAGAGCCAGGGGGGTGGATGCAGAAGCTGGAATGTAGGTTTGTTCGTCAACCAATGTTTCCTGCGAACATAAATATGAAATCTTAGCCTTTGGAAGCTTTTTATAATGCAGAGACGTAAGATGAAAGCATGAGTTGGAGAGGTTCGTTTTGATGTCTTGAACAAGATTTCTCCTGACTTCTGCGCTTTTCTCGTTTGTTCGCAGTTCCTCAGCACTTTGTTTGCCCCCTTAAACTTTGTCATGGAGAAAGTGGAAAGCATCCTCCCATCCAGTCTTTGGCACCAGCTGACTAGGATCTAGGGAAGCCCACCCGTCCTTCCACTCACCTCACCCAGTGGGCTGCCACCATCTCTTCGTGCCAACTCCTCGTGGACTGCAAGAAAGCATGACTTTGAAAAAGGGAAGCCATTCCGAGATTTTAAAACCTTCATGGACTGTCTGTTCCATATTAAAAGCTGTTTTTGTTGTACAAAATTCATTGATGTTCAGTTCTATTATATTTTGCTTTCAGAAAAGAAAAAATAAACTTTTGTGTATTGCAGCAACCAGTTGTGTCTTCCAGCCCTAAAACTGTTGGTGTCCAAATAAACCTACAGGTTACATTTAATTTACTAAGGCCCCAGATCTGCTTAGTGCAACACAATGGTTTTCTATGCTAATGGACCTCCTTTCACCAGGCCCTCGGCACCCCTACGGTTGGTGGCTTAGAAAACAGACTCTCTCTGGCTAAAAAGTACCATCTTTTTCAGCCCCAAACTGTATGTCCTCATAGGCTAAATGCACAAAAGAAATTTCCAGCATGAATGACAGGAAGCGTGAATGAAACGAAATGTATGTGCCATCCCAGGTTGTTCCAATTCAGAGACTCTACTCACGGAATAGAACTCAGCACTGTGGTTCTAGGAATCATTTTACTTCTGCTTTCTGAAAACTTGTCGTGAGAAAAAAAGTTCTGATGAGAGCTACAGAGCCAATAGTCTATCGTAGGACCTGACCACTTTCAACATTGCCATTTTTTAAATGTTTTCTCATAAGGGTCATTTTTTTTTTTATCATGTTTTCATTCTTGATGCTTGCGTGTGAGCGTTCTGAGTGTTTTCATGATCTGAACCATAGTGGTCGTTTGTCTTCACCATCTTTGAAAGCCTTCTACATGAGTCACACCTGCCAAGCATCTCTTTTTTTTTTTTCTTTCTTTAACATCTTTATTGGATTATAATTGCTTTACAATGGTGTGTTAGTTTCTGCTTTATAACAAAGTGAATCAGCTATACATATACATATATCCCTATATCTCCTCCCTCCTGCGTCTCCCTCCCACCCTCCCTATCCCACCCCTCTAGGTGGTCACAAAGCACGGAGCTGATCTCCCTGTGCTATGCGGCTGCTTCCCACTAGCTATCTAATTTACATTTGGTAGTATATATTAGTCCATGCCACTCTCTCTCTTTGTCCCAACTTACCCTTCCCCCCACCCCGTGTCCTCAAGTCCATTCTCTACATCTGCGTCTTTATTCCTGTCCTGTCCCTAGGTTCTTTCATAACCATTTTTTTGGTTTTTTTTTTAGATTCCATATATTATGTGTTAGCATACGGTATTTGTTTTTCTCTTTCTGACGTACTTCACTCTGTATGACAGACTCTAGGTCCATCCATCTCACTACAAATAACTCAATTTCATTTCTTTTTATGGTTGAGTAATATTCCACTGTATATATGTGCCACGTCTTCTTTATCCATCCGTCAGTGGACACTTAGGTTGCTTCCATGTCCTGGCTATTGTAAATAGAGTTGCAATGAACATTGTGGTACATGACTCTTTGAATTATAGTTTTCTCAGGGTCTATGCCCAGTAGTTGGATTGCTCGGTCGTATGGTAGTTCTATTTTTAGTTTTTAAGGAACCTCCATACTGTTCTCCATAGTGGCTGTATCAACTTACATTCCCACCAACAGTGCAAGAGGGTTCCCTTTTCTCCACACCCTCTCCAGCATTTACTGTTTGTAGATTTTTTAATGATGGCCATTTTGACCAGTGTGAGGTGATACCAACTGTAGTTTTGATTTGTATTTCTCTAATGGTTAGTGATGTTGAGCATTCTTTCATGTGTTTGTTGGCAATCTGTATATCTTCTTTGGAGAAATGTCTATTTAGGTCTTCTGCCCATTTTTGGATTGGGTTGTTTGTTTTTTTGATATTGAGCTGCATGAGCTGCTTGTAAATTTTGGAGGTTAATTCTTTGTCAGTTGCTTCATTTGCAAATATTTTCTCCCATTCTGAGGGTTGTCTTTTTGTCTAGTTATGGTTTCCTTTACTGTGCAAAAGCTTTTAAGTTTCATTAGGTCCCATTTGTTTTGTTTTTATTTCCATTTCTCTAGGAGGTGGGTCAAAAGAATCTTGCTGTGATGTATATCATAGAGTGTTCTGCCTATGTTTTCCTCTAAGAGTTTGATAGTGTCTGGCCTTACATTTAGTTCTTTAATCCATTTTGAGTTTATTTTTGTGTATGGCATTAGGGAGTGTTCTAATTTCCTTCTTTTAAATGTAGCTGTCCAGTTTTCCCAGCACCACTTATTGAAGAGGCTGTCTTTTCTCCATTGTATAATCTTGCCTCCTTTATCAAAAATAAGGTGACCATATGTGCGTGGGTTTATCTCTGGGCTTTCTGTCCTGTTCCATTGATCTATATTTCTGTTTTTGTGCCAGTACCATACTGTCTTGATGACTGTGGCTTTGTAGTATAGTCTGAAGTCTGGGAGCCTGATTCCTCCAGCTGTGTTTTTCTTTCTCAAGATTGCTTTGGCTATTTGGGGTCTTTTGTGTTTCCATACAAATTGTGAAATTTTTTGTTCTAATTCTGTGAAAAATGCCATTGATAGTTTGATAAGAATTGCATTGAACCTGTAGATTGCTTTGGGTAGTAGAGTCATTTTCACAATGTTGATTCTTCCAATCCAAGAACATGGTATATCTCTCCATCTGTTTGTATCATCTTTAATTTCTTTCATCAGTGATTTATAGTTTTCTGCATACAGGTCTTTTGTCTCCTTAGGTAGGTTTATTCCTAAGTATTTCATTCTTTTTGTTGCAGTGGTAAATGGGAGTGTTTCCTTAATTGCTCTTTCAGATTTTTCATCATTAGTGTATAGGAATGCAAGAGATTTCTGTGCATTAATTTTTTATCCTGACCCTTTACCAAATTAATTGATTAGCTCTAGTAGTTTTCTGATAGCATCTTTAGGATTCTCTATCTATAGTATCATGTCATCTGCAAACAGTGACAGCTTTACTGCTTCTTTTCCAATTTGGATTCCTTTTATTTCTTTTTCTTCTCTGATTGCTGTGGCTAAAACTTCTAAAACTATGTTGAATAATAGTGGTAAGAGTGGGCATTCTTGTGTTGTTCCTGATCTTAATGGAAGTGGTTTCAGGTTTTCACCATTGAGAACCATGTTGGCTGTGGGTTTGTCATATATGGCCTTTATTATGTTGAGGTAAGTTCCGTCTGTGCCTACTTTCTGGAGGGTTTTTATCATAAATGTGTGTTGAATTTTGTTGAAAGCTTTTTCTGCATCTGTTGAGATGATCATATGGTTTTTATCCTTCAGTTTGTTAATATGGTGTATCACATTGATTGATTTGCGTATATTGAAGAATCCTTGCATACCTGGGATAAACCCCACTTGATCATGGTGCATGATCAAGCATCTCTTTTTACTTAAGCAAAAGAGAAAAATAAATAACCTTGACTCCTCTATCTGAAGTGAAAAGTACCTCTATTCAAAATCTCAATGTGGTGCTGTAAAAAGAAAGGACTGTCCTTTACATGGCTTATTTTCCCTTTTGTTTAGAATCCTGAATCTTTCCCCATGAGCGTTGCAATAGGCAGCATTCGGGAAAGCACCACACCACGTCCCCTTCGCAGCTGGACTTCCTGCCACCTCCTGGTCTTCATCCAAGAGCAGAGTCAAGCAGGCAGGTAAGGTTTAGGTGCACAAGGGCTTTTCGTGCTTTGGGCAAACTTTTCTCTCTACCTCCTTCGTGCAAAGCCATGGGGGACATGTGCAGTTGGCTGCTGCTCTTAGTAAACTATCTCAGAAGAGGTTGAACCCCTATATCCACATCTAGTGGTACTGCTCTTGGGAGCAGGGGCTGTGTCTGCTTTGCTTGCCTCTTTACCTCTTCGTCCCCCAGCACAACTCTTGACCTGGAGTGGATGCTCAAATGATCTGTTGAGCAAATTGATGCAGTATGTGATAGGTACAAATAAACTTTTATTCATGTTCAGAGTAGAGAGATTGGTTCCAGCAGAAAAGGACCAGGGAAGCCTGAGAATTGGAAATTGGAGCTGGAAGAAAATGTAGTAATTATTTAATACAATTATTTGATTTAACAGATGGGGAAACCAAAGTCAAAAAAGATTTCGACCTGAGTTTGGACTAGATTGCGATAAGTCTTAAATGAAAGGTTCGAGAGCCCATAGGCAATGGTAAGTGGAAATGGCCCATCATGAGTTGTTGGAAACCCCAGTTGCAGGAAATGCAGCAAAGAAATGTAACACAAGGATTTAAAAGCACCTTGTGAATTTAGCAATGAGGACTAGAGCATTTCCACGGAGAGGGGAGGCAGAAGTTAGGCTTTGACGGGTACAGGGAGTGAATGGGAGCCGCGAAGGTGGAGAAAAGATGGTGACAGAATGAAGACACAAGCGGGGATAAGGGGCTGTTGGAGGGAATGAGTCCGTGGTCCAGGAGAGGAGCTAATCACGTGAGCTAATTCCTTTCTTCCACCTCTCCCTTCAGCTGCTGTGCTCAACTCTGAGAGCAACCATGACTCACTCTTGCCATTCTGACCTCCCTGGGCCAGGATGCCAGGGAGGGTGCTGTCTTCCCAGCACTGCCTTGCTTTGCTGCCCCTGAGCACAAGCATTCAGGTCTTTTTAAGGTTTTTTTGCAAACCTATGGAGAGGCAGAATGAGAGCAACCAGTACATCAGAGCAATTTTTAAGGTGATCAATTTTACACAGTTCTTACATTTCTTGCCTAAGGTCCAGAGTTCCTGACTTAATAAGATGGCAACTGGAATCCAAGTTGCATTTCTGCCTTCTGCTTTTATTTCTATATAAGGGGACATCGAAATCCATTCTGATGGGCTTTCCTCTATAAAGACACTTCCTCCCAGCTGG